CTCTATCACCTCCTCCTCCTCCTCCTCCTCCTCCCTTTCTCTCTGGCTCCTTCTCTCCTTCCTCGGACCCTATCCCTCTCTCGTCACGTTATGTCTCGTTTCTTTTTACGCTCCCATCGTCCCGCTAACGATCTTTTATCGAGTGACCGACGATCCTGCATTTTCGTCGTGGGCGTCATAGATGTAAATGCAATAACGACATACAGCCGGGTTCTCTTGTTGTTGTTATTGTTCGAATAATCTCGAACGCACGCACGCGCGCGCGCTATATTCGCACTGTCGAACCAGAGTTTTGCACTACCTTCATGATGGATCTCTTGTACAAAGTATGTTGAAACGAATGAGGAAACGTGGAAGTAAACTTAATATTATTATCAATAAAGAAGCTCTTTCACGAGAACGTAGTAATATACCTTTGCATCCCCGGAACTTGACAAATTAATGAGTTTCTTTCTTAATATTTTTAATTAATAATAAAGAACACTTGAAAAGTGTCTAAAGTAGCTTTCGGGATACTAAATATACTTCGAGTTTCGGGCCGCACAAAAATGAAAGAGGCTTAAGATCTCTTTGGTTTCTCAAAATCCAAAGAGACTAACGGACTTTTGCATATCCAACCATGGATCTGCTCTCTCTCTCTCTTTCTCTCCGAACGCGGGGAATTCGCGGCCGCGAAATCGGGAAATTGCGAGTCCACGGCTCGTCGAATTGCTCACAGCGTTGGATCTTCGAAATCGGACCCTGCCTCCTTCCACGGTTCCTCAATCGCCGCTCTTCAACATGAACACATCTGCCGTTTTATAAAAACGAGAAGGTGATGCAAAACTTTGTTGTACGTACATCTTCTATACCTCTTCCAGTCCATCGCGTTCACACTTCGCGGCACATCCGACATCCTCGGCAAACCGACAGAAAATTCCTTCGCGACATTCTGTTTCCTTTTAGACTGCCGCACATCAGAACTGGAGTTTTCCGAGATTGTCTTTCGATTATTCTTCTTTCACTTGGTCCTTTCCTTTTTTCTTTCATTTTTTTTTTTCATTCTGTTCATTTGGAACTTGATTTCGTCATGGTAGATGGTGAACTTGGACCGCAAGCGAGCGTGAGACAGTGTGGAATGTTTATCGTTAATATTCGATTGTTAGAATACGCAAATCGTGACTTCGTACACGACATAGGTCGCGCGTGAAATATATACAGACGATACGGAACAATGGTTGCCTCTTTCAGCAAATTTGGATCGCGTACAGAGTGAAGAGTGCGAAGAGATTTAATACACACGCGCGCCACGCTTAAAGCTGCCGATATCAAATGTGATCCTTCTCTCTCTCGCGAGGCTGACGATTCGCCGATGCGTGGAATTTGACTGGTATTTTCGTTCCTCGTACATTGGCACCGGCAAAATCTTAACAGCTTCCCTGCGGATACCCATAAATTCCTGTAAAAGGAAAGAACATAAAAAAATCACCGAATTTTCTCGTAATATTAAGTTTTTGGATTCCTTATACTTTAGATGGATCATCACGATATCCACCTAAATTCCCCCGGCCCCCCTACAGCCCCGAAGAGATCATTGAATGACAGGATCGTGGATTACGTTCACACGCGAATCACTTCCCATTATCCCCGTACATATCGGTTCCGCTTGATCAGTTTTAGCGATGTCTACATACGGCGGAGTTCTCGAATCATTCCTTGGAAAGAGATGATTATCGTTGCAAATAAACAAAAGGGAGAGAAAGAGAGAAGGGGGAATAATATGTGCGAGGGGGGAAGAGAAGAAGGCAAACGACTCCGTGAATAGCGAAAAAAGAAAACAAGAAAAACAAAGGCGGGATATTGTGGACATAATGATAATATTAATATTAATATTAATAATAATAAATAATTATTATATAATTATAATTATTATAATACCGAATCATTACCATAATTTATATACCTAATGAACAACTGCATGTCAGAGTGATGCATGGAGCAAACCAAATACCTTGTAAGTAAAAAGAACTTTAGAAGGAAATAAAAGTAATGCTTTCAGTCCATCAAGCTCAGTAAAAATCACGTTCGCCCCGACGCGATGATATAACACATACACGCGCGCACACATATAATAATAATTACGACTGTTGAGATTTTCGTTTTTTCATTTCCTTCAGCCCAAATCTCACCATAAATACTTCATCTTTTAAGACCTCTTAAAGTTTCAGATTTCTCGCCTGTAGATCTTTCAATCCCGGTCCCTTCTCGGACCTCTTTCCTGTTTTTCATTCGCCGACACGGGTCTCAAAAGGGTCGTCCGTTTTGTCCTAGCTTTGCGGATTAAACGTGCGTCAGGTTGAAGTAAAAGACGCCTATTCTTTCCTAGTCTTTCCGACAATGTCTTGTGCATCCTGCTGGAGCATAAAAGCGAAGCCGAAACTGCGCTATTCTTCATTCTCAGCTACTTGAGTATACGATACGGTCTGCGCTTCTTTGCCACGTTGGTTTCGCCTTCACCTTGGCATTTCAATTCCAGAGAAGATCAGTGATTAATCAGTGATTGCCGTCGATAAGTATCGCCAATACGATCGGACATTCGTGTGTATCTCGATGCAGTATTCAACGAGAGGCATTTACTATTCGCGACTGGATTCATCACGACTCGTCCAGTTCTCCTTCCACACCATCCAGAATAAAATTAAGTCTGGTACAAAGTACGCGAAGGATTCTTGTTAGATACTTGAAAAAAAGCTTCGCAGAAATCTCGTCGTATGATTGACAGATATATTTATTGTTTTGAAATTAAGTATTTTTTTAGCACATTTTGGTCCCTAAACGTAGACTTTTTTGCAAGTCACCCTCAGACAGCATAAACTTGCAGGTATTTTAAGTTTATATTGATAGTAGTTATTTGAAATTTGCTTCAAATAAGACACTCAGATTTCAATTTACAGTTAGACCTGAGTTTTTCAGCTTTGCAATTGCAAATGTAATATGATTCAAATAAAAAACTCATCTAACTCTAAATTCAAATTTGAGTGTTTCATGTAGGACAAGTTTCAAGTAATGACTATTAATACGAGTCTTAAAGACGTCTGCAAAAAGATATTCTATCTTATTTAAGTATCTTTTAGAAGTTTGTTGCAGAGGGCGGGTTAAGTGGTTGCCTTGAAGAAACTGAACAAAGGCGTATCTGCGTGCTCGCATTTGTTTATTCGCTGCGTCCTGACTGCGTTCTATGTCGATCCCGACTACGCGTTTTCAAACGAGACGTCTACACGCGCGCATGCTCCTCGGGGGCCGGTTTTTCGCCGACGACTGAAATCGCCAGGAACCGGTTTGCCGAAGCGAGAACTCCACGGGAACTCGAGCTCCGCCTGGATTACGTGCCTTCGACGTCAAAAAAAAAGTTGGAAAAAAGAAACTCACTCCGAACTCGCAACGTGAGCTTCCGCGCGAAACGATTTTTGCAGAATTGCCGTTCGTGGAATCTCAAAGTCGGATTATTCGTAAAGTTGGCATTTTTCAAATGTCGGGATATCCTCATAACTCGTAGCCATTTTCATGAGATTCTTTGACAAATGCAAAATTAATTTTCTCCTAACAAAGGAGAAATAACGCAAAGACTTATTACTTATAATTATGATTGACTTAGACAAATGTGTCGAATCGAAAATGGATTTTGAGTTACGAGCGATCGAGTAGCCTTTCGTGATCTTCCTGACGACGAATAATGAGATTTCCGGTGATAATCGATCTTACATTTACCAAGTGTCTAGTTAAACTTATTAAATTACTCTTTAAATTCTTTGGATTGAAATTACATTTGAAAGGCAGAGTGATAGCCGAATCGCTTGAATTCGAGCGATTCTTCGCTTGTAAAACAAATTTTTTTCTCTAAGGCCAAGTTCCACAACATCTGTTTAATTTTAACTATCAGTTATAGGCCTTTGCACGTAAAAAAATTTTAACCGTAACCGTAAGATCATAAGAAAACTGATCAATCAGAGTTGATTATTCTCCTTGCATTTGAGGAATAATCAACTGTATGATTGGTCAGTTTTCTTACGACCTTACGGTTACGGTTAAAATTTTTCTACGTGTAAAGGCCCTTAGTCCCAATAGTGATTGGTTAATTCTGATTAACTCTTCTTAATGTCAAATGCGATTGATCAAGTCCAATGGAATAACCAGCCAGTTAAGTTAACTGGAGGGTGTGGAATTGGGCCTTAATCGATGTTTTCTCTGGGAATTGAAGAGTGAATCTCATGTACTCTACTGTCATTGGAACAAATTCACTCTGATCGGCTGGAACATTCGCTCATGTCGAGTCAGAATCCACTCCGAACTCGAGTGAGACATTCACTCTTGCGATTCCGAATGGCAGTGTTTTCACTGTCAAGTGAATTCTCAT